CGGGCGGTCAGCATGTGGCTCCACGCTCTGGCCGAATGCCCCCACAACGCTGAGGTCTTCTACCACTGCTGCAAGTTCCTCATGGCTCAGGTGAGTTCGACCGGGAGTCTGCGAATAAAGTTTAAGCTCCGCCTCTCGACGCTAAGAACCGTCTCTGTGTCCACAGGAGAAGGCGGGCGCCATCACGCCGCTGTTCAGAGGCTTCGTGCTGTCGCTTTGCGAGGACGAGCAGAGTCCGAGGGCGCCCGTAGATGTGCTGCGGTACGTCCCGACGCCTCCGTCTTCCCAGCTGTAGCACGCACGGACAGCTGACGGCGCTCTGTTCTTCCTCCCTCAGGCACATCCTGGGCTTCTCCTCTTCCTCCGAGCTGCTGGGAGGTCCCGTCATCAAGAAGGAGCTGCCGGAGCGGCTGAGCCAGCAGATGAGCTTCCTCCACCTCATCCACTGGTTGGTGTTTAAGGTTACATAAATGGCGTCCTGCGGCGATGATGAAAGCGGGCGCAGTAGGGTTAACGTGCTCGCTGTCGTTGCAGTCGGTGGCAGTGGCTGCACGGCTCGGTGGAGGACGCGGCGGAGGCGTTCGAGCGCGCCCTGGGGGCGGTCACCCAGCTGGAGGAGCTTCACCGGCTGTGGATGGAGTGAGTTCACCTGCCGCAGGTGCTTCCGCTTCCACCGCACGCGCTCACAGCTTCCCTCTCTCCGCAGTTACCTGACGTTCAGCTGCAGCCCGCAGGCCCGCGCCGCCACCACCGCCTCGCAGTCCAGGACGTTCTCAGACCTGGTCCAGCGCTGCCTCAGCACCACCCCCTCGAGACTCGAGCGCCCCTTCAACCCCGCAGAGTTCTGGAGCTGCTACCGCTTCCACAACAAGGTCAGAGGTCGAGTCCGCTGCCACACGCCATCTTCACCTGCGTGATGTCACGACTCCGTGCCGTCGTCACACAGACGTGAGCGCTCGCTGCCTTGCTCAGCGGCAGGTCTGTAGTTGTAGTCTGCTGATGTCACGTCTCCCCTGCAGGTGGTCGCGCTTTACCTGAGCTGCCTGCCGCCATCCCAGCATGCACTGGTTCTGGAGAGACTGTGCTACACGATGCCCAATAACACCGAGCTGGGCCTCAGGTACACACCTGGAGTGGGTGGAGCTTAATGCCACTCGTCAGTGATTTGACTCCAGTAATGAGATGGAAAATACATCTACTTCCTGTTTGTCGTTGGATTCAAATCCTCCGACCACAGGGACAGTTTAGCTCCGCCCATATCAGCGACATCACTGCTGTGTGTCTGTTGCTGCTCAGGTTGCTGCACCAGGAGTGGCTGGATGGGAACGTGGAGCACCTGAAGTTCCAGGCCCGGATGCTGAGCGGGAACACCCCCAAGTGTCTGAGCAGCTGGAAAATGTGAGTGCGGGCGACCGTCCCGCCAGATCAATGATGATCA